TGAACTGCAGAGCAGAAAAGTTGAAAGTTAGGAGAGCTATAGATGTGAGTACCATTGGTTTTTTAAATTTGTAATGAAATATGATGGCTTTGTTGCATGATTTGTATTTAAGTATAGCTTTTTATTGCAAGTGAATCACACAGTGATTACATAAAATGAACTTAAATATTGATTTGTTGGTCCTAAAATAATGTAAAATCAATTTTAATATTTGGTATAAATTTTTATGTGCATATTTTAGTGCATATTTCGGAAGTTTTTCATGCATAAATGCATACATAGTGTGACATGTTGAGCCATGGATAACGCCCCTCCCCCCCGCCAGCCGAAGTGAGCCGAGCGGAGCCGAAGTTAGCCGAGTCCCAGCATCCTGGTAGCTATGCAACGCGAGTCAACACCGGTGATGTCACCAAGGGTACCGCGGGTTGCTAGGCAGCGCGGGTAAACAGTTGTTGCGAGAGATGATGGTAGTAACAGCGGTACACAGCGTTGCTGGCACGATGGTACCAGACATAGTGGTGCCTATTACGTGGCCGTTTTCTGTATTGTCCGATTGAGGCTACATAAGGAGCAGCAAAGGCTATTCACAGTCAGTCCTGGAGCTACCTCCGAGTTAGTTCCGAGCAAGCCTACTAGCCAGCGGCGTGTTACGAGTGAAAGTGTGTAATTCAGGGAGACTTGTATAGCTCCCGCGTTATTAGTACGTGAAGTCTACTGACAATAGCATGATTTGATTATTGCGAATAGGGTTATAAATTGTGAAACCCCGCAATATTGTTATAATTGATTGTATCCGATATTTGTAGATTGTTCAATAAACCAATTAACGATCTCTACGGCGTATTCAGTAACGAAACACGTTACAATATTAAGGGATTATTAGGGCATTAAAATCCGGTCCCTAGTTATGACTGATGGTCATTTCGCCAGTCAGTCTTGGTTTCAAGCCCCATCTGATGCCCAAGACCTGATTATTGTTACCATCAAGCAGTTGCGAGTTTTTTTATGTTGGACGCACTCTCTGATGAGATGAGTTGCCTCAGTGGCTCTCACTGTATACCATCACCACAGATTGCATAGAAAACACTGCTCCCAGCAGTTCTATTGTTATCACGGGCCATTGCATAGCAATGGCTCATTTGTTTATTGAGCTATTTCCATGCAACAGACAATTTTTAAGTAGTCATGTCACAATATTTTAGTGAAATTGGATATGCCGGGGGTCGGCAAACTACGGCCCGCCGCCGCTTTTTCTGCGGCCCGCGCGCTAAGAATAGATTTTACATTTCCAAACTCTTAAAAAGGTCAAAGTGGGACAATATTTCATGAAACAAGATAATTATTAAAATATGAGTTTAATATTTCTGCGTCTATGAAGCTTTAGTTATAGGAAGAAACCTACGTTTTTCGAACATATTGTCTATGGATGATTACGCACTCCAACGGCCGACCTTGAGTTGAGGAGTTGCGAGAATTGCCGTGTGTGGCGCTCCTATAGCTCCCCATTCCCATGTTCCATCGTGGCCCCAGCTGTGATGACACGCAGTGTTACGAATGCCACGTGTATCGCTGTTCTGTGTCGTTTTAATACCAGTGGATATCCATCATGTCGCTGTCGAAACCACGAAAGAAGAGAAAAGTGGACTTGGAATGTCGTGTTTTTAAGGCAGAGTGGAGTGAGAATTATTTTGTTACTGAATTAGATGGCAAAGCATTGTGTTTATTGTGCAGTGATACTATAGCTGTACTAAAAGAGTACAATATACGTCGGCATTACCAGACTAAGCATTCGGCACAGTATTCCCAACTCACAGGGAAGGAACGATCACAAAAATTAGAAACTTTGAAACAGAGTATTTCATTACAACGCAGTTTCTTCACGAAAATGAAAAATGAAAATAAGGCTGCAAGTAAAGTAAGTCTACGAGTAGCTCATTTGTTAGCCAAGGAAGGAAAACCCTTTACTGATGGTGAGTTAAAAAAATCATGTTTGATTGTAGCAGTTGAAGAAATGTGTCCAGAGAAAATGGATTTATTTAATAATATCAGCCTTTCTGCTAGAACAGTTGCCCGAAGAGCTGAGGACATTGGTAGCAACATCACTAACCAATTAATTAAGAAGGCAAATGATTTTGAGTGGTTTTCCTTAGCTCTTGATGAGTTGACAGACATTACAGATACTGCTCAATTGCTGCTGTTTATTCGAAGAGTCAATGCTGACTTTGAGGTGACTGAAGAATTAGCTTCTATGAATAGTCTGCGTGGAACAACTACAGGCGAAGACATTTTCAAGGAAGTTGAGGAAATGTTAACGAAGTACAATCTGAAGTGGAATCAGCTAAAATGTGTGACAACTGATGGTGGTAAAAATATGTCTGGAACAGGTAAATGCTTAGTTGGAAGCATTTACACAGCTTGTGAAAATGCAAGGTGTACAAGGCCTATGTTTATTAATTGTATCATTCACCAGCATGTACTTTGTGGCAAATATCTTAATCTGTCGTGTGTTTTAGAACCAGTCGTGTCAACGGTGAACTTCATTCGTTCTCGTGGGCTGAACCATCGTCATTTCCGTGATTTTCTGTCAGAAGTGGAAGCCGAATATCCTGACTTACCCTACCACACAGCAGTTCGATGGCTCAGCAGTCGTAAAGTTTTGTTAAGATTTTTTGAACTCAGAGCAGAGATTGAAATTTTTCTCAATGAGAAAAAACGCCCTCAACCACTATTATCGAACACTGAATGGCTTTGCAAATTAGCTTCTGCTGCTGATATGATGGGATTTCATAATGGATTCAACTTGAAGCTACGCGGCAAAACAGTGCTAATATGTGAAATTTATACTGCGGTAAAATTATTTCGACGACAACTGGCTTTGATTGAGTCACAAATCATGTCAAGCTGTTTCGTGCATTTCCCATGCTGTCAAACAGTAAAAGAAGAAGTGGATTCCCCATTCCCGCACGAATTTGCAGGTGATATATTTTCTGAGCTCAAAAAACAGTTCCAGCAACGTTTTTCGGATCTTGATGCAAGTGCAGAAGACATTTCCAGATTTGAAAATCCATTTAACTGTACAATTGAGGAACTTCCACCTAACCTTCAATTGGAAGTGATTAATCTGCAGTGTGATAACATGCTAAAAGGCAAATTCCAAGAGAACAATCTAACAGAATTCTATAAGTGTCTTCCAAGTGATGAATATGGTGAATTAAGATCATATGCTCGAGGTTTGATCTCTGTATTTGGTAGTACCTACCTGTGTGAAAAGACATTTTCAAAGATGAAATATGTAAAATCTCAATACAGGTCAGCATTAACAGACGAACACTTGCAATCAATTATGATGATAGGGAGTACTATCTTTGACCCCCAATTTGAAAAAATGTTATCTAAAAAAACACAATTTCATTCGTCCCATTAGTAGCCTAAAGCTGTGTTTCAAACAATGATTGTAGTTCCTTTTGTATTTTTATTATGTTACATTTTCACCAGTAAATTTGTGAAAACTTGTTTTTTAACCTGTTATTTTAACTGTACCAACCTTTAAAGATCCTCGAGTTTGCCTCTTGGCCCTCAGAGTGTAATGTATTTTATAATTGGCCCTTTACGAAAAATCTTTGCCGACCCCTGGGATATGCTACTAAATGCCAGCCCACATTTGTATTTTATAATCCTACCATTGACCAACCTTCAGGTGGAAGTGTTAATGGTACCATTTAATGTAGGGTCCTAAAATGTTGTGTGGCAATAAATCTTACCCCTGGTCAAGAATAAAACATAATTTTAACCACAGAGTCTGAATTAAATATAATATGGCTTGGAGGTATACAGGGTTATTTTTATCATGTGGCAGCATGACTCCACAGGTTTTAGCTGATTCTGTATTTCATAATGAAACAAAAAAAAATCTTACCTCACAGATGGCTTGTGTTGGAAAATAGGTGTTCTGTTTAGAGGGGATGAACTTCAGGTTACATCCCACAGTCTTATATAACTGTTTAGACTGTTGGGGCAATAGTTTGACAGTAGCTCCACCAAGGGGCCAACCCGATTAGGGTTTATCACCTAAAGATGGAAAGAGATCCAATTTTCAAAATTTATAGGTTTTGTATAACTCCAAAATAATAGTTTTAAGCAATGAGGGAGACTCATTTCAAAACTCTTTGCCATATTAACTTGTGGTGTGACTGTACCTCAACTACCTGTACTTTGGTTATATTGTGTTACTGTTGCCATACAAGCATTAGTCTGTTACTGTTGTCTGACAACATACAGTGCACAGGAATAGACAGCTGCATTGTATAATTATACATTTATAGTTTGTACTACCATCGCCATATAATTTGAAACATTTTACGAAACTTTGCAATCATACCGGATGTATTCGGAAAGTAACCTTTGTATATTTTAGGCAACTAATGTAGGAGCAGAAGAAAACTTGCACATTCAAAATATTTTCATGTGATTCATTGCCTTGTAAACCATCACCTATTAACAATCTACAACTATCGGCTATAATTAATGATCACAATATTA